GTTCAAGATTTATCATCATAATTCATCTCCCTATCGGCTGAAGATGAACGGTGTTGTTGAAGTCGCGAATAAAAATATCAAGAAGATCATTCAAAAGATGACAGTCACCTACAAGGACTGGCATGAGATGTTACCGTTTGCTCTGCATAGATATCGTACCACGGCACGTACTTCAACAGGGGCAACTCCCTTTTCTCTGGTATATGGCATGGAAGTTGTTCTACCTATGGAAGTTCAGATTCCTTCCTTGAGGATTATGAAGGATGCCGGTTTGAGTGAAGACGATTGGATTCAGACCCGGCTTGATCAACTTAACTTGATCGACGAGAAGCAACTTACTGCTGTTTGTCATGGTCAGACGTACCAAAAACGGATGATCAAGTCTTTCAACAAGAAAGTCAGGCGTCAGGTATATCAAGTCGGAGATTTGTAATCAAGCGGATAATCTTACCGCAAAGTGATCCCAGGGGCAAGTGGACTCCTACTTACGAAGGACCATTTATGATCAAGAGCATATTTTCTGGTGGGCAATGATTCTGACCACCATGGACGGCGACGACTTGCCGCACCCTGCGAACGCAGACATAGTCAAAAGATACTACGCATAAAACGACCCGACAAGTTGAAAACCCAAAAGGGCGACTTGGGCAAAAATGGGCATCCCGGTGAATCGAAAACCCGAAAGGGCGGTTCAGGCAAAAATTAGGGATAAACAAAAAAAATTGTACACCCAGCAAGTTGAAAACCTGAAAGGGCGACTTGGGCAAAAAAAGGGTTTCCCGGTGGATCGAAAACCCAAAAGGGAGGTCCAGGCAAAAGTAAGGGAATTAAAGCATATGACTATGTCTCGTCGGATCACTTTAAGGACAATCTCTTCACCAACAAGCTCCAAGCTTCTGATCAATCCAATCATTGGCGGACGAAGCAGCGAATGGACAAGATACTCAGAGTTGTGAAGGCTATAGCAGAATGGGAACCCCATGGAATTATTGCACATAGCCATCTTTCTTTTGTATAAATTTTTTCTCAATTTTTACGACAACATTCTCTTACTAGGATGTCTGTCTCCTTTGTACAAAGATACTTACAAAAGTTAATACAAAGATACTTCAAAGTGCAGAAATTTGCTTGCCTTTCCTTTCTTTTTACACTTATGTTTTATTTAAAAACGTCCAATGTTTTGTTAAATAGGCATATGCATTTGAATGTGATCACTGCTTACAAAATAAAACGAAATTGAGAAAGGATAATTAGTGATGGGTTGAAGGTGTAGGAAGATATCCTTGTGCTATTCCAGAAGAAACCCTCTGCAGCACTCATTCAGATCCTCAACAAAGTTGAAACCTTGAAGTATACATCCCAAGCGGAATTAAATCTCGAGATCCCCAAAGGAGCTAGTGTGTTCTAAACTTTATCCCCCAGCGGAGTTAAGTTTCAGAGTTCCCCTCGGAGTTCGAACTCCCGATCCCCAGCGGAGCCAGAATGTTCTAAACCTTCTTCCCCAGTGAAGTCAAATTTCCAACTATCAACCCCTGGAGGGAACCGTTCAACTTCCCCCAATTTCCCCAGCAGGCTATCTTAAAAGTCAGAGAACCAAGCAGATAACAGTTAACTTCTTGGCTTATCCCCAACTAGGATGCTTCCCCAGTAGATTGGCGTATAACCCAAGCTCCTGATTTCTCCGGCCGAGTAAACATTCTCCCCAGAGTTATTTCCCAGCAGATCGAAGATTCTCGGTCTCATTTCTCCAAACAGAAGTCTCCCAAGTTTTAACCTCCCAATAGAGATTTCAGAGTTTTTCTTATTTCCCAGGAAAGTCGTGAAGGATTCCTATCCCCCGCAGAGGTTGTTAAAGCTCTTGTTAATACCCACCAGTCACCGAGGATTTCCAATCCCCTAGCAATGGCCCCGGGATTTCCCATTCTCAACAATCACAGATCTTTAATCCCCAAGCAATCGGTAAGGATTTCTCATCTTCAATAATCAAAGGTTTTTGAAACCTTGGCATCGGTCAGAGGTTTACTTCTCCCGACAGCAGTCAAAGATTTCATTATCAAGGATTTATTTTCCTCAGCAAGACGGCCACTCAGCTTACATGCACATCCATTACATTCATAGATCATAAAACATTGATGAGGCACAGTTCATTGCATCATACACGTCATATAACATGACTTTGTGTTTTAGCTAACATTTTACCCTTTTCAGGATAAGATTAAAAGGCTATTGTTAACAATTATTCTGATACAGTATGGATACACCCCAGACACGGCGGTCATTCCACTAATCATTCAGATTTCAGCAATCCAATACAGACTAGATACGCTCCAGACACGGAAGCCATTCTATCTCTCATTCAGATTCAACTACCAAACCTCAAGTTCAGATACACTCCAGACTTGGAAGTCATTCTGTCACTTATCCAGATCCCAGTTACAGTTCAGATACACTCCAGACACGAAAGTCATTCTGCTACTCATACAGGTCTCAACTTCAGATACAGTCCAGATACACTCCAGACACGGAAGTCATTCTGCTACTCATACAGATCTCAATATCAGATACAGACTAGATACGCTCCAGACACGGAAGCCATTCTATCTCTCATTCAGATTCAACTACCAAACCTCAAGTTCAGATACACTCCAGACACGGAAGTCATTCTGTCACTTGTCCAGATCCCAGTTACAGTACAGATACACTCCAGACACGGAAGACATTCTGCTACTCATACAGGTCTCAACTTCAGATACAGTCCAGATACGCGCCAGACACGGTCGCCATTCTATCGCTCATTCGGAATTTATCCCCAGCACATAGATGCTCCCTACACAGATGTTTCTCGGTTACCCATTCCGAATATAGATACACTCCAGACACGGCAGTCATTCTGACATTTATTCAAGAATCAAATACAGTTACAGCTCGGATACGCTCTAAACAAAGACGCCATTCCCTTGCTCTTACAAACCCAATCTCCAGATACAACTCAGATACGTTCCAGATACGGATACCATTCTTATGTTCATTCTACTAATATTTAACAAATAAGTTTTGGATGGCATCTTTAAGCCCATCTCCAGCAAGATTCTTGTAGCGGTGAAAATCAGAGATCAAGCTATTAATTAACTTGACTCACAAAAGCAAGAGTCGCCACCGCGCTTTATTATTTCCAAGGGAAAGGGGAAAAGAGCGAAATAAAACCCTAAAATATGCAATGTATAATAATACTTAAAAGTAATGAAAATACAATGCGTTTTGAAAAGAGACCGAGAGTTCGGGGGTTGGTTATACAATGGGAAGGTATTAGCATCCAATGCATCTGCGGTACTCCGCAGGAACCTTTTGAAATATCTGTTTTTGGTTAAAATTGTTTGTTTGATTAAAATGGTTCGTTTGGCTAAAAATAGGTGTTCGCGAGATTTTGAAGACGTGATAACTAAATGTCGAAGTTTTGACTTAAAAGGTGTGAGTTTGAAAATGGAGTCTTTTGGAAAATTATCTTGAGTTTTGCAAAATAGTAAACAAGCAAAAAAATGAATGAAGGGGTTCGCGCAATCGTATGAGATATGTTCGGTGACATGAAGTCAACAAAATTAATTCTTTCCCTTAGAGTAAGCAAAATAAAATGAACATCAAAATATAAACATTCAGAAGTTCATAAGAAAATAAATCTGACAAAAAACAAATTAATGATCAAGAGGCACCGAGAAATTGAAATGACAGAAATATATAAATAAAAGGAATATAACTAATTATCTAAAGAAGTTATTTAAACTAAATTAAAAATTTAAGATTACTTACTAAAAAATTCTAAACTAACTATAAATTCTAAGGTTGCAAAAATAGTCCTAAAATTACTAAATTAGATCTAGGCTAAATTAAACATTTTAAAATTAGTAAATTAAATCTAAACTAAATAAAAATTCCAAGGTTGCTAATCTAAAACAAAAAAGTTCCAAAGTTACTAAACTAAATCTAAATCAAATAAAATTCTAAAAGAATATTAAACTAATTCTAAACAACTAAAATTCTAAACTTATTAAACTAATTCTAAATCAAATAAAAATTATAAACTCATTTAACTAATTCTAAATCAAATAAAGTTCTAAAGTCCCTAAACTAAAACTAACAACTAAAATTCTAAAGTTAACTTAAATAAAATCGAATAAAATTCTAAAGTTTACTAAATTAAAACTAAGCAAATAAAATTCTAAAATTTACTAAGTCAAATTTAAATGAAATAAAATCTTAAAATTACCAAAATAAGACTAAACAAAATAAAATTCTAAAATTACTATATTAAAAACAGAAATTCTAAAGTTATTAGGTTAAATCTAAATTAAATTAAAATTCTAAAGTTTACTAACTAAACTAAAATTAATTATTACAATAATTCTAAATTTAAAATAATTAGTTCTAATTAAAAAGGAAAGTTTTTTTTTGTAATTTTTTTTACAAGAAACGTTGCTTTTGATATTTAACCATTTTCTTTACTTTTGATACTGGCCTAAATCTACTGTATACCATAACTTCTATCCAGTACCACCTACCAATTTCACCAATGGTTAAAGTGTGAATGCAATACACAGAATAGAGGAATGAAAACAAAACCTGCTTTTTACATGTCATGACAGCACAAAACCGAAACTTGCAATATGCTTGTAAAGAGGGATTTTTAAGACTCCAGCACCAGCTTTGCACACCGCGAGAGACACTGCCAATATGGCATTTGCTCCAAGCTCTTGTTTGCGCCAAACCTCCAACATGTTGTCCCAAGCGTCAATGAGATGAAGACAGTGTAGAAGAAGCGAACAGCAGTGTACTGTGGGTTGCGCCAGCGGAGATCTTGGTCGCACTTGAGCTCAAAGCATGCACCGCAGCTTAAGCCATTGTTGCATAGTGCGGTGCTTAGAGCGGCGGTGTTGGCGGAATGGTCGCGGTTGGAACAAAAGGAGGACCGTGTGGAACATGAACCATGTGGCTACTATCATTATTGTTTACTGCTGCAAGGAGTGCTTCAAGCTTCTCCATCTTCCCCTCGTCATCTTCCCCAAGTTGACAATGTCAAGTGCTACACTATTCTTTTTCAACTTTCTCCCAATCATCTCCAACATTTTCTTCTCGTGCTTGACAGGACTTCCAGAAAAGACGATAATCCTTTGCTGCTGCTTCTTATTCTGTCGATGCTTAAGAGCCAACTGTGCCACCTGAATTCCAGCAGCTAGGTTCATCCCACCGCCTATTTCTAGACCATGCATACAAGCTAAGATTTTGCCCAAGTCACTGGTAGGAGTAGCCAAAACCCGAACGCCTTTCCCCGCCATAGTGAGAACTCCAACAGTATTTTCAGGATTATACTGAGTTTTAACACCGCAAATGAGACTTACAGCGGCGGATTGGGCTTGAAATCGAGAAGGAGAGTAATCGCCGTTACGCATCCATTCAGAGTTGTCAATACAGATCATCGTTGCCTCGAGCACCATTGTTGGAGATTTGATGAAGTTCAGAAGCAAGATTTGGAAGAAGGGTACAAAACTTTTTTGTCGAAGAGAAAGAGAGAGGTGAGAGAGAGTAAATGATTACATGCTACTGTTTGTTTTTTTTTTGTATTGAATTAATGCAAGTTTGGGTTTATTGATTTGAGAAGGGAGATAAAGTTTGAAGAATGTGAATGTGATGTGATGCGTGGGATAATCAAAGGAGGTGGAAGGGTATGGCGTGGAAGGAGTTGTGAGAGGGTTTTGGAGTGAGATTGGAGAATGGGGTTTGATAGATTGAAAGAGATAATTAGAGGGAGTTAGATAGAAAATGGGTTCCAAATGTTATTGGTGTATTTTTGTTGTGTCTTGTGTCCCCCCCTTTGCAAAGAAAAAATGAAGCCTTTAAATAGAAAAAAAAAATAGAAATATTATGATTTCAAAATAAATCCAAGCCGTTCAATATAAATCCAATCTCTACCAATCCGCAAACCATACTTTCGACCAATGAGAATTCAATCTCTATCAATCCGCAAACTATGCTATCGACCAATGAGAATTGAGCGAAGTCTAATTAATATTTTTTGTGACCAAAAAGTCCCTGAATGACAAAAATAAAACTTGAAAGTATAAAAAGAAACTCAATTTAAAATGATTTTTTTGAATATTTTATGAATAAAAAATAAAGACACAAAATGACCGAAAAACGATAAAAACCGGACGAAAATTTATCCGAAAAAATAAAATGAACACATTAAAATAATCTACATGTCATAAAGATTAAAGAAAAAATATTCAAGAAGTCAAAAATCAAAAATAAAATAACAATAAAAATATCAGACTAAACAGACGTTTAAGGTTAAAACGAGACTTCGAACTATATCGAAAAATAAAGCGAGCATACTGTCATAATCTACGCGAAGCACAGATTCATAAAATGATCGGTAAAAGGTGAAAACTTGAAATATTTTTCTCGCTAACTTTTCGCACATTGTTGAATCGCTTTTAACAGTTTGTCTATAAAATCAAAATATTTTTATTATCGACATATAAACAACTTGGAGCAATGCAAGAAACGAGTAAAGAGATAAAAATGCATGAAATGAAATGTCGGGTATTTTACAACTGAAAGACGATGCAAACTATGATTTAAACTGACTTTTCCTGGTCAACTTAAATACGACTAATGATGCAAAATGTGATGAATGAAGATATTTACTAATGATTGTGACCAAATGACATAATATGGTATGAATGTGCGACTGAAAAATTAAGGGCGAAATTAAGGGTGCAACGGTGTGCCTTGATCAATCAGTCTTCGAGAATCCACAATCAACCGTACTTCTGGCTTGGGAGACTCAAAACCTTAATTGAGGCGTGACACCTGATGCTCTTGATTCAGACCTGTCTCTGCACATGAAACAAAAGAAAACAAGAACGTACACCTTTGTATGCGATTAGAAATTAGTGACACATAGGCTAAAAATGTTCAAAACACTTGACAATCTTCGCATAGTCAACGCTCAAAGGTGAGAGGTTAAAACCGACCGTATTTAGTGACCTTGACTTTTGTATAAAAAATGCAAAAATGCAAGTGGGATCTTAGGTCAAAAATTGGGGTACAACAATTCTACCGTCTCCAAATGGCATCTTTAAGCCCATTCCCTCACCTACATTTTGATGAGTGCAAATTTACGGGCACTCTAGTGTCCAATCCTCTTTTACCTTCGAGTCACGAAAGGCAGATTCGCCAATCTAACTCTTCAGGTCCAAGAAGATTGAACAGGGGAAACTGTTGTACCCCAAAATTTGCCCTCCCATCCTTCAGGTATTCATCCTGAACTCTCAGGTTTTTCTCTTAAACAAAGCCAAGCCCTTCATTATCGTTCCTTTCCAAGCAAACAATTTACAAGAGCAAAATGGTCATTTGCAAGCTCTAAAGGCAAAGCTTTTACCTTGGAAAAATTAAATCCTAAACATTGGGAATTTTTCTCTAAAAAAAGGGGGTGTTTAAGAAGAAAATGGCACTTTAGAGCTTCTGAACCAACCTCCAGGAAGAAACAGTCAGAAGCTGCAAACTTGGCTCAACACATAACATTCAGTCAGAACATGGCTCTTTCAGCAGTTACACCAGCTCAGTCAGAGATGGTAAACTTGGCTCAGCATATAACATTCAGTCAGAACAAGACTTTTTTCAGCAGCTACGTAAAAGTTCAGTCAGAATTTGCTAGAGAAAACAACAAAGCCAGAAACTCCTTTAGAACGTACTGGGATCAGAAGATAATAGGATCAGCAGATTGGGTAAAGTACTGAAGCAGGATCACTAAGCCCAGAAACTCTAAAGATAGATCAAAGGAACATACTGGAAAACTCTCAGAACTTGTTGGGACAGCAAGAGGCCAAGGTCAGAGCCTGGTTCACGTTGTTTTTGGTAAAGCAGAACTGCTGGCTCAGGTTTTAGGTAATAATGCAAAATCTCCTATTACAAGATTTTTGATGTTGATAAATCTCATCACCATTTAATGCTCATTAATGCTCACAACCACTCCTGTACATTCATCCAAGGGGTCTCTCCACGTGTGGCTTGGTAAACGCCTTTATGCAGGTTTAGGCATGAGTCTATGCGCCACTTTTCGCCTATAGAGGTCACTTTTCCTCAATCCTTGCCTACTGTTCCAGCCTAGGCTGAAAAGTTGTCCATCATCACAACTTTTCATGAACTTCCTTCAAAAACAAGTTAACCTCTACTGCATAATATTGGCGCCCTTTAAACGTTCAAAAATCCACAAAGTTTTCCTTATAAATAGGACACCATTGTCCATCACAAAAGGGACGTGAAAAAAAAAAGATCCAGAAAAAATTGCTGGAGAAGAAACAGAAAAACTCTAGTAAAAGAAAAACCTTGTGAAACTCTGCCAAAAACCCCAATGATTCATAACTTTGAACTTCCTGTCTCCAAACTTCATTGATACTCAGTTTGCTTCTTGACTAGAGAGCACCCATACAGTTTCTGACCATACATACACATACCTTCTCCATCCACCTATTATAAAAAGAACCTGTCCAGAAGACCATCAGAGCTAAAAGCTAGCTCCCACTCACTGACTTTTTTCAAACAGCCAGGTAAGCACCTGCTGACTTTCATCACGCTGCTAAGCATCATCAGCTTTGCATGCCCAATAAACATAATGTAAATACCATGTTGCTGCTGATTGCATTCTGAAGATTTTCATACCTCAGAATGTTTAAGTAGGAAGTGAATCAGTGTAAAACCAGCCTGTGACCTTGTTGGTTCTGTTTCCTGAAACACTTTAACATTTGCTGAAGTTGTCCCAAGCATGTTTTCTGCTTTGTGGAAAAATAATAAAACTGCAGATGTTCTGGCTAGCACAGGGAAAAGCCAAGTTCTGACTTTGATGTTAGCACATCTGAAGCCTATTTCGCTGTCAATAATATCAAAACTTCTGAGAATTATTGTATTTCCGACAGGGTCAGAACTTCTGACTTCCCCACTAACAAACTTTTGTCTTGCAGCACATGGGGGTCAGAACTTCTGACCTTCCCACTAACAGGTTTCTGTTTTGCAGGTGCCAGAGTCAGAAGTTCTGACTCATACAGTTTCACTAACAGGTTGATAATCCTGCAGCAGGCCTGGGTCAGACCTACTGACTTCCTCTCAGCAGCACGCTAGCCCTTTCTCTTTCTCTCTATCTTCCCTTTGTTATTTTCTTTTCTTATCTATTTTTCTCGTTGAACCACCCCATGTACAAATGTGTATCCCCATCCCCTAAATGTTGTAATAGCGTAGGATTTTACATTTCCGCATTTTATTGCTCTCAAATGTAAATGCTAGTAATTAGCATATGTATGGCAAGATAAAATCAACGAAATAGAAAATCCTAATTCAAGATAAACTCTTGCATGCAATGAAACACACTTGCACATAAACACCCCTAAGGTATCTCCACTTGGTTGCCTAAACAAATGGCCATGATATGCATGTTGAGTATCTATTGGCAAAACAAAAACAAAACAAAAGATCATAGTCCCTCGATGACGCTATCTTGGTTGCCTATACAAAATGATCTAGTCCCTCAGAAAATTGCTAAAAGATACTTAGCACAATTGCTATCATGGTCAATACGATGACCCGCGCCTGTCTCGTTTAACATCCTAACACAAGGTTGTTCATCAAATACAATGGTGAAACAACACTGTCAAAAGGGTTAAAAACATAAGAAAGATCTTTGAGTAAAATAGGGTAGATAACTCTTAGTTACTTGATCAAAAAGCTTGCAAAAAACATTCTTGCTATTTTCAAACACACTTCACAACACAATTTCAAAATCTAACTTTCAAACATTGAAATCTTTTTTAAAAGACAAAAACACCTTTGTATACATTCAAACAAAGAATCATTACAAAGGTTGCCACAATGATGGCCTTTTTCCAAAAGCATTTTCAAAAACCACACACAAAGCACCATTGAAAAGCAAACGCAAGTGATCTAAAACTAAGAGCCCATGGATAACCATGGATAGAAAGGGTGATAATACCTTCCCTTTCTATAATCTACTCCCCGAACCCAAGAAAACATCTCAAAGGTCTTTCCTGTGCTTTTTGACCTTTCCTTAGGATAAAATAAAAAGTCGGTGGTGACTCTTGCTAAACTAAAACATTTGTGGACACAAACGCAAAATCCCAAGTCAGTTCTCCCACTGTATCACAGAATGCAACACAAGAGAGTACCTCTTTTCTTCATTGTGCGAGTGTGGAAACAATGTAAAATGTCTCCAAGAAAAGTAGGTATAGTATTACGGGAGAGGTAAACCTTGATGGAATTCACATCTATGAATTGGTCCGGATTGGGAAATAGAACCAAACCATATATTAGAAGGGCCAAGACATCTTCAAAAGCTTGAGAATCTATATCTTCCCAGAATAAACGAGCCATCTCTAATAGAAACTTGGCTAGGAAACCCTTAATTCCGCTTATTGTCCCCCAA